GCACCAGCCAATTGACAAAAAACTCGCTGGTTGTTTGGACATCTGAGCTTGGTGACACGCTCACAGGGCCAAAATAAGGTGATTGATGAACAATGACCACTCCGATAATCACAATCACCATGGAAACCCATAAAAGGGGGAATCCTTTCGGAGGAACCTGAGCTCTTGTCAGTTGCTTTATGACAAGTTAAGATGCTTGTACCTCAGCTGACTTAGCATAGAAATGATTCACGAAGGAGTGGACAGTTCTGATATTATTATTTTGAGTAGGGCCCTCCCCGGTGCCCCCATTACCCCCTTGACCCTGACCATGGGCCGCACCACCAGAACCGCCCTTACCTCCTGGGGAAAATGATTAATCATTGTAGCATCCCAGCAAACTTCCCTCATACCAGAGATGTTAATAACTGTTTGGGGATGAGTATCTTGGTCAAACATGGCGGTGTGGATTGTTAGAGATCAAGAGTGTGGACCTTGGCAAACGCACTATATCAGTCACTGCTGAAGTTTCTGCAAGAGCCAGTGACCAGAGAAAGGATCGGGCCGATGTATTCAAAGCTGCTGCGGTGGAGGGGACGACAGTGTGGCGGATAACAGCCACACTAAGGTCGTACACCTACATTATATAGACAGTGTCAAGGGAACAGACTTAGTGCCCGATTTGGACTATTAGTGACAAAGCATTCCCACCCACCATCATTTTATTCCAATTTAGTAGAATTTGCCGATGACTACCAGTGTACAGCCATTTGTGGAACATAGGCGCGGCCGGTTTTTTCCCCGTTTTGGGCGGTTTTTGATCGTATTCACCAAAATGCTTGTTGCGGTCGCAGTTCGTAGGCTATCCGCATATAAATTATATCTCCGTGCTCGCCTTGGGATTCCACATGGCATGGCCGATTCAGAATATTTTATTGTGCCTCTAATCATTCCCATTAGAAAATATGCTGTTTTAGCGAAAATGTAATGCTGAAGGAGAAGTATGGACCTGAGAGCCCTCAAATATGGTAGGAAGTTACTACCCAGTTACTACAAAAGCACCATGTACTCCGAATACTTTTACACCCCTCCATTGAAATAAACGACGTGATTGAATCTCAAAATACGCAGTCATAAGACAACTTGCCCAGGATTCGTTTACAGAGCTGCTCTTTGGAGCATAAACAAATATTATGGCTCTAAAGTATACCCTTGGATATTACGAGGAAGCGCCGACTGCGTCGGCCGAGACCTTGCTTGTGAATCTCCTCTACGAATTTCATAACTTTGACCCGGAACCTTGTAAACCCGGAGATATGCGGCAAATGCTTCATCAATTTACGATACCTTTTTAAAAAAATTCTCCGTTCTAAGATCAAGAAAAATAATTCTGAGCAGACAGATGTTGGTATTCTCAACCAAGGAAGACTTTTGTATGCTTCAATTTTATTCAAATCGAAACATCATCCCAGAATACGGCACTCAAAACAAATTTAGTGGTTGTGATAGCAGAAAATAACAACGCTGAATGGTTTCAGCTCAGCGTCGGAATAAAATTTCCTGCATCTCTACACGCGTTTCTGGCGATCGCTTGAGAAATTAATCAATGCATTCCATTTGTTCTGAATAGTGTTCAAACACCCGCTCAACTTTGGTTCGACCGCCATCTCAGTAGTTGTCAATGAACAGAACAAAAAATATTTATATTCTCGTGGATGGTTGGTTTTTCATTCACTCTTCTGCAATTTCGAGCCACATGGGACACAGGTGTACTGGAGAACTATGAGTTGCACAGAACCCTTTTTAGGAAAAATATCTGGTTACATGCTTTGTTCACCCTCTTGTGATGCAAAATATGGCATTAGACTGGTTCAATATCAGATCCGCTGTTTGTACACCGTTCAAACAGCACATCTGGTGGAATTGGAACATAGCTTGAACGGCGATTTGGGGCTCCATCAAGTCACTAATCAAAATAATATTTCACCATTTTTCTCTCTGTGATCGCAGTGCAAGCGGTGAACTCATTTCGAATGATAGTCATTAAGAAGTACAGAATTTTCCCCTGCATTACCGATGTATGGCTCCACTTTTCTTCCGTGCAAAGGACTTGATCTTGGTGTCCCTTGAAAATCGCGGGAGGTAGCTGGAAGATGGCACCAGCAACTCTTTTTGTTCGTAAAGGGCAGAAGTCCTGTCAGAGCCATTCATGAAAAATTATTTTGTATGTTTCATCATGTTTCCTAGCTCTCTGAGTGACTGTAGAATGTTATAAGCAGCTAATCCTCTGTAGACTTTTTGTGGATGGCGAGTTATATTTGGGCCACATGGAAAGTCTGCCAGGTTGGGATTTCTGGTGGAAGCAGTTCTGCAAATGCGTAGCATGAGCTACGGAATGAAAATGAATCTTCTGAAGAGTCCATTTCTACTAGAAGTATAAGGCAATGATAATGTAATTTCTACCAAATTTTTACACATGTAGATTGTGAATTGGACTCGCAAAGAGCGTTCTCGCGGATGCGACAAAAACCGGCGAAAAGAGAGAGAAAATGGTTGTGTCCAGTGTCATTGACATGATGTAGATTTCCTGCGCTGAATTCGGACATGAGGGTGTAGTATAGCCGCACAGTTAATGCAAATTGCTGTGATCATTCAAGTGTTGCTTTTAATACATTCCGGACCGTGTCGACCGATGCAATCACTCGCCAATCACTAATCGGAAAGAACCGGGACAGGGACTTCGGATCAATGGGTGAGTCGAAAAGTGCGCCAATTATGAGGGTGGAGAGACCTTGCAAGCAAGGTGACACCGGGGGCAAGCACCAAGGCACTTGAAAGTCAAGTGCCTTACATGCATGTGGTTCGCATGTGGTGAAATGGCTGACAATGAGCAGACAAAGTGTCTTTTGTAGACAAAGAAGGGAAAAAGGGAAGACAAAGGGTAGACAAAGGGCAAGTGGAAATCCCCAGGCACCCCAGGGTGTTATAAAGGGCTTGTACTGCTCAATTTTCAGCTGCGAGGCTATGTTCCAGCACTGAGACGTGCCGCATCAGCTTTGACCAGTCGTCTCATTACTCTGCTTCTTGTGTCTTGCCACAATGCCGCGCAAGCTAAACCCACACCTGCAGCGCACTCAGTACTCAAATGATCTCAAGCAACAAGTCATCTATCAGGCCTTTACTCTTGAAAAGGAAACCACCCAGATTGTCATTGACCTCAATATGTTTCTGTGTGTTGCCCAGCATGTTCTAATGACTTGGGAAGAAATCGGCGAGGTCTGCCGTGACCGGTCTCACATTGGTCGCACCCCTATACTCTCACCAGAACAAATGACTGTTTGTCTATCTTGGTTGAAGCCCTCCACTCCACTCATCCCTTTCTGGCTAGTTCATGCTCACACTCATTGATGACTCACCTGATATATACCTTGATGAAATTCAAGAATAACTGTGGAATCAGCCATTTCATGGGATCACACAGGTGGATCAGCATGTCGAACACGGACTTGCAAAGTGTGCAAAGAGGCAGGCAGATCAGATGCACAAATGAAGATTTGTGCCGGGAGGAATGACAGACGCAAATGCACGGGGGTGTTGGCAGAGGTGTGGGTTAGATAGAATTGTTTGGGAACACATGAGATAAATTATTATTGTCTTTGAATTGAGTTAAAATGATTATAATGAGGCCGGCCTTTTAAAAAGCAAGGTGTACAAACCGAAATTGCACGGTAATGACGAAGATAATGAACAGGGGGAATCAAACCCACAACCTCCTGATTACCAATACTCAAACAACACCACAAACCATTCAGCTAAACTGTACTTGTAAGTGGCTACCAGACATGGTACCCATGGCACTCCATCAATTATATTTGAAAAGAATTTTTATTTTTCAAAATTCCAGACACTGCACGAGGCCTTGCATCAATCTGGATGGCGTGATGACCATGTCTGGCAGTCCGAGTCTCGGATGCAATTCACTCTCGTATACAAGTTGTACGTATTGGCAATTGCCTTCTCGTACATGCAATCCAAAATAAGAACGGTGCGAGACAAAAGAAATGTATAAACTGAAACACAAGAAGAATAAGTTGAGAGAAGAGGTAGGTGTATACCCGTTCGCAACACATTCAGTCGCCAGTGTGACCGAGTCTGCATTAAATTGGCAGATGCAATATAACAACACTGACAGAGAAGCGTGCATGGGCATGAGGTGTCAGATTATAAATGGAACAATCGGTAAATCTGAGCGCTTTCCGATGCGGTGGGTGCTAATAAGATCATGCCGCATCGCATCGTGGATTCTGAGAGGAGGAAGAGGATATATTATTGCGGAGGTCCCTAAAAGGAACAAGCAGGTACTGTACCTACGTACACAGCATCCAAAATGTACGCTACAGTCATCAACGGTCACGACGCTTTGGTAGCCTACCTACTTGATAGTAAAGAGTCATCTCATGAATAGACTTGGTTGAAGGGCGCTGAATTAACGAGGAATCCTGAAGGCAACGGGGAAATAGCGAGGCATCTCATCAAAGAGAGCCGAGACCTCGTACACGTACTGGGCAAACAGCTTCACCGCTTTGCGCGAGCTTACAAGCTTCAGCAAGAAGGCGTAGTTGGTGATTGCGGCGTGTTGTGCGCTAATGTCGGGATCACAACTGGCCAGAATAGCCAAGAATTGCGACCTCAATAGCACGAGGTGAGGGCTGAAACTTGAAGTGCAGTCAAATAAAGCATGCACCTCGTCTTCGACGGCCTGCACAAGCGAAGATTGCGCGGTATCCTGGCCCTATATCGTAAAGGGTACCGGAACCGCTCGACGCTGAGGTTGTGATCCCCGAGGTACAGGCCGGTGATTGTCTTGCGATGCGCAGGAATGGGAACGAGTGGTTGACTTGAGACCACAAGGGGCTGATGTGCACCCTACTCCACATCCGAGATACTTCTACCATTCGAACCTGGGCAAGTGGGCATTATTTTGGCATGGACAAAAAAATGGATGTCGTAGCGACTACTTATTCGGATGCGGGGAGTCGAACCCCAGCTTTCAGCTTACAGCCATAATGAAACCCGCTTATTGAGAGCCGATGTGCACCGTGCACCACATCCGAGATATTCCCTACTATTTGGAGTTGGTAAGTGGCAGATATTTCAGCATGGGCATGACAAAAAAAACTCGAATTGCAAGACGGATTCGGATGCGGGGAGTTGAACCCCGGTCTTCAGCCTTCACGTTCAGAAAATCCCGGCGTATGCAAAGCTGATGTGCACCGTGCTCCCCATACGGGCTATTACCATTCATATAGAGTTGGGTAAATGTGGTATTTCAACGAGGAAATGAGCAAAAAACAAGGAGACACGCTGAATTCGAATGCGGGGAGTCGAACCCCGGGTTGCAGCTTACAGCGTCACTATACGCACTAGATAGTGGTAGCTGACGTGCACCGTGCACCACATCCAACTTAGTTCCCTTCGTTCGAACCTGGGTAAGTGGGCAGTATTTTGGCATGGACCAAAAATAGAATTCAAATGCGAATTATTCGGATGCGGGGAGTCGAACCCGGGCCTTCAGCTTGCACGGCGACTAAGACTCTATCAGGAACTGACGTGCACCCTGCACCACATCGAGTTACTTCCCTTCATCTGAAGCTAGGTAAGTGGGTGTTATTTTAGCATGAAAGCAGCAAAAACAAAAGAAGAACGCACGCCAGGCATTCGGATGCAGGGAGTCGAACCCTGGTCTTCAGCTTACTACTTACAGCCTCGGAACCGAACTATTGAGAGCCAAGGTGCACCGTGCACTACATCCGAGTTACTCGTACCATTTGGAGTTGGATAAGTGAGAGGTATTTCAACACGGACATGCCGAATCAAACAATCAGCCAAATTTGGTTTCCCATTCGGGTGTGATGAGTCCAACCCCGCGTTTTCAGCAGTCCTGAAGTTGGGATGGATAATGAGCTGACGTGCACCGTGCACCACATCGGAGTTATTCCACTTCATTTGAGGTTGTATAGGGTGAGGATATTTTAATCCAGACACCGGCACAAAAAAACCGACGACTCGCGTCAATATTCGAACACGGGGAGTCGAACCCCGGTGTTCAGCCTACATTCTGCAAAGCCATCTTAAGAGTGAGCTGATGACCGCATCCGACTTATTAGCCTTCATTTTGAGTTGAGTAAGTGGGCATTATAGCATGAGTGTGGTAAAAAAAAATGACGGGCCCGCTATTTTATTCAGATGCGGGGAGTCGAACCCCGGGCTCCAGCTTACAGCCTATACGCACAGCGAGCGATAGTGGTAACTGACGTGCACCGTGCACCACATCCGAGTTTTTCTTTATCCTTTGAACCTGGGTAAATGGGGATATTTCGGCGTACAAGAAACAAAAGAAATCAAAAGAACTCTTTTATTCAGATACGGGGAGTCAAACCCCGGCTTTCAGCTCTAAGCTTATCGACAAAGACAATCGAAAAGGAGCTGGTGTGCACCCTACACCACGTCTGAGATATTTTCTATCATTGAAACCTGAATAAGTAGCAGCAGTTTCGTGAACTCAGAAGAGAAGACCAAAAATATATATTTTACTTGTCATCTTATTCAGATGCGGGGAGTCGAACCCCGTTCTTCAGCTTACACCTTTGTAAGGCGCCATTAAATGGCCCGCTGATGTGCACCACGCACCACATCCGAGTTATTCCATACCTTCTGAACCTGGTCAAGTGAGAATATTTCAGCGACCCAAAAAAAAGGCACCATCATTCCTAGCAATTCGGATGCGGGGAGTCGAACCCCGGCCTTTAGCTTGAGGTTATAAAGGTATATTCAATGAGAAGCTGATGTGCACCGTACGCCACATCCGAGTTAATACCCTTCATTTGGAGCTAGGAAATTTGAGCATGGATACGACACGGTTAAAAAAAAAAGAAATCCAGCCATTGCTATTCTCATGCGGACGCGGGGAGTCGAACCCCGATCTTCAGCTTTGCAACTCATGATAAAATGTGACAGATGCAGGAGACGGCGTAAAGTGAAGAAGTGGGATCAAGTTTCTTCGATGAAGGTTCGTTCACTTCCTCGAACCCAATCCCTTTGTAGATTTACAGAGGATGTGTCGCCCATTCCCGAAAGGGATTGCCTGATTTTTTGAAAAGATGAAATTGAAATTGAGGATCACGGGAGGATTCAGACCCATAGGGTACGAGAGTATAGTAAATTCGTGGCATACGCGTCGGCACATTAAAGAGACGAGATGAAATCAGCATGCCGTATAAATAAATGTTCAACATAATTAAATGTCATTCGCGGAAATAAGTTCATTACAAAAGTCGTTACGGTACATTAGCATACACATAGGGTATCGTGGATGGATATGGATAGACCGGACAGTGAGTCAATTCCACGGGTCAAAGCGCCGAAAGCTTCAAGACGAGATAAACCAATGCGAGTATCCCGAAATGCGGCGGCGACAGCGCCGCCACGCCATCGATGAGGGGGACGCCGAGCCCCACGGTCTGGTTCAAGCAGTCCAGCAGCACCGCGTCGATCCCGGCGGGGAGCGGCGCGTCCGGAGCAGCGTTCTCGTCCATGAGCGCCGCGGTGTTGTTGTACCCGTCGAGGCTGAGCGCGACGGAGCTCGCGCGGTAGTACTGCACGACTTGCTCGGGTTTCGGCGCGGCGTTCGCGTCGAACGGCGTCGGAAAGGTGGTGTTGGGCGCGGTGAGGTGCGAGGAGCAGTTGGCGGCGATGTCGGCCATGAGGTCGGAGACGGTGCTGTTGTCGGCGACGAGGCGGAACACGGTGCCGGTGGAGTTGGACTGGAAGGCGACGGAGGCCATGGCGCCGCCCGGGCGGGAGCTATTGTTCGGCTCGCCATACTGCATAATAATCAAAGATTAAAAGGGCAGAATGGTGGAAAGGATGAATGCGCGCTTGCCTCGTTTGAATGCAGATATGCATTTGAGCCGTACCCGATGCCCCCTCCCCACATTAGGGGCCAGAAGTAGAAGGGGAATCCGCGGCCGCCGACACCACGACCGTTTATGCCAGGGTATCCACTGCCATACGATCTGTTCACCAGAGTTTTTATGAGGACGATATTCCCAAGCGTGCGAAGGGATGATGCGGCCTACCGAGTTCCAAACACCTGTGCCCTCGTCCCGCCACCTGCCGACGAATGGTAGTCAGAAATCTGTGTTAAATTGGAATGAACAAAATACCTTGGGACCTCCCAGCGAACAGACTCCCTGCGGGGATCGTGGAGGGCCTCCCGCCGCCCTTGCCATAATTACGCGAGGACCTCGACGAGCCCCCGCCAAACTTGATCGGCGAGCTCTTCCCGCTGCTGGATGACGAGCCCCTTCCGCTGCTCGAGCTCGACCCCGAGCCGGAGCTACTGCCCTTGCCGCCCGAGCTGGAGCTGCCAGTGCCAGTGGAACCGGAACTACCTTTGCCGCCACTCGACGAGCCGCCAGTGGAACCGCCGGTCTTGCCTCCGCCCTTCCTGCGGCCCAAGCGACGCGGTGTGGAGATGAATGGGATGAGCATAGTCGACTCCTGGATCCTTGGCAGTCCGCACTGTTTAAGTATGTATGAACAGCTTAGGGGTTAACTCGGATCCGACGGATCAGAGTGGATAATCCTGTGCAACACAGCTTTTTTAGGCTCTTCTCTCCAACTCTGTGCAATTTCCAAAAAGGCGCACAGCTGTCAATAGCAGTAGAGGTACAGCATGCAATTTTGAATTTTCTTCTGGCAACGGGTGGAATGATGGCACTGTGGGGCGCATCAAAGCCGGAGGTAAGCGATCAATTTATCAAGCGCATCAAACCGCTCATCGAGGACAGTGTTGTCACTGACCCCGTCTGACGGGGTCATTTGAGGGGTCATGGTCAGATTCCCATTTTCAGAAGGTCATTGATTGACCCGTCACTGACTTTTGTGAAAGGAGGGGAAAAGGAGGTCGGTGATGTCACTGAACGTTCCCAGCGGAAACACGGTCGGTCAAAGTCGTCAAAAACATGTCAAAAATCTGCCAAAATCGGGAGAAGTCGACAGTTGTTCGCACTCCCGATTTTGACCGATTTTGACGATTATATGAGACTGGCCCGTTTTTTTCATGCCAAAATCGGGCATAAACGGTTATTTCTGTAGCTACTATTGTACATTCCATTTGCTGCTACCCGCTTCCCGCCCTGCTCACCGCTCCCAGCGCTGCTCCGCCCCCCCCTAGCTGCCTGCCAGCACTCCATCCGTTCCCGCTCCCGCTGCCCCCCAGCCGCCTGACCATTCACCCGTTTCTCTCGCCGCTACCGGCCCCACATTCTACGCCTCCTGCTGCCATATCATAAAGGCGCACCACCGTTGTGTCCTAGCTTATGGTTAGTTAAAATTCCACCGTGAGCTGAGACATTTACCTGCCCAGCTATCCAGTCGCCGCCTTGACATGTAACCCATAATTAGTACAGAAATCGAATGAAGCCCGCGAAACTTACCTGGGTTAATGCAGCTTTTGCAAGTTTGTGAGCGTCTTTCCACGGCTGGAAGGGACGATGAGAAGACGATATCATAAAGAGTGGAACGACCTTTTGTTCAATGATACTCATATTATCCCAGTAAGTCTTGAATTCGTCATTTGTGCCGCCGACGCGCGAGATCCAGTCTCTTTTGCAGAGATTCCTGAAGGAACCGGTGTCAATAGCACACGCTAATTGGTTGCACGGCGGGCTTACCTAGCCGTGACTTTGTCTGAGACAATTGCTTTCTTCGTAGTCGTTGTACTCTTCTTCACTTTGGGTTTTGTAACGGGAGGAGCGGGCACAGCAGGAACAGGCACAGGGACAGTCAAAGGCAAGGGAACGATGGGTGCAGACACAGAAGAAGTCGAGGGGGTAACAGGTAAGGCCGGTGTTGTCAGCACTACAGGATTAATAACAGGATTGGTGGGCAGAACGAGCGGTCCAGGCAGTCCGGACGTAGTCGGCGAAGCGATAGACTCAGGTGCAAGCGAGGCGGGTCGGGGTGGTTCCACCGTCGTAGATGTGGACGCGAGGGGAGGTGGTGCGACAAGTTCGGGGGGTTTTATCATGGATGTGGATGCGACGGGAGGCAGGGCGACAGGTGCTGGTGGAGCGACAACCCGGATCTTCTTTGTGATAGTTCCCGCCCTGATGATACCGGTAAATAACGGTCTCAAGGAAAGGAGAAAGGCTTACAGGGGATTTCGAGTCAATTTCTAGACGATTCAGTGACGAATAAATGACAAGTTGGGATGGATATGGTTAAATACTCACACTATTGGTCTTTTGAGCGCTCTGCTTCCCCTTCTGGGCCGCAGTATACCGGGGCTTTGACGACGAGGAAGAAGAGGAGTAAGATGAGGAACTTGCCGACGTGTTGGCGAGTTTAGGACGCTTAGCCGCTATTGGAGCTAGTTCGGTGTCTGCAAGACGCTTGACGGAGCTATCACCATTGCGGTCCTCCTCCTCCTCCTCCTCCTCCTCCTCCTCGTCTTCCTCGTCGTCGTCGTCATTGTTGTTGTCGTTGGCGTCGTCGGCAGGCTCGAGTTTGATTTTCTGAACGTTTCTTTTCAGCGCACGCTTCCAGGTTGGGAAGTAAAGGGTCGAAAAGTGAGTCGCTTTCCAATTGTTGGAGCATCGGGAAAATTCGGGGTAATGCAGCACCAGCTCTTGCGCAACCTCGCGGGCAACAGCAGACGTGGCCTGCTTCCAACTACTTGGCGCCCTCTTTGCGGCCCGCAGACCATTGTATATGCCATAAGCAGAATCTTTGATATGACCGAGTCGGTTTTGCTGATTGGGACGCCGTCATCATCCTCGAGAAACAAGAACGAGCCCTTAGTGATTTTGGTGTGCTTTTTTCCGTGTGTGACGCCCTGAGCATCTTCGATAGCGCCTTTCCAGTCAGACCGGTCCCAGTACGCAAGATGTGGAAAATCAGAACGTTGAAGGACAGGCAGAGAAGCGACAGGCAAGGGAGGCGGGGGCATGTTCGACGTGGAGCTGGATAAGAGGGGCTGAGGAGGCTGGTTCATGCGGACAAGAAGAGAGTCGAAATTCCGTCTAATAATGAATCGAATCGAATCAGCAGTGCAGCTAGTGCAGGCACAATTGTACGCACTGCAATATACCATTCTCGGCGGCTAGTGTGATGTTTTCACGTCGCAGGCGGTCGTTTTCGGTCCGTAGATGCCGTACTTCACCGTGGTCGGAGGAGGGTGGGACTTGATACAAAGAGGGCACGTAGTGAAGGTTCTGTTGCCATGGGTGAGTCAACGCGAGCTGCAGCAGAAAGAGCGTACAGAGACCTCAT